GGACATTATGCTGAGTGAAATATCTCAGTCACAAAAGGACAAATATTGCATGGTGCCACTGCTGTAAAATGGAACTGATATCAGGGTTGGGGTAAGATTGAGAAAAACTGGATAAATTGTGTATACTGCACTGAAACAGATGAGGGAGCGAATAATTTAAAAGCGATGTATGATAGGGTATTATGGTTATCACGAGAATTCACAATTAGGGTTGCATAGTGGAATGTACTTGGGGTGGTGGGAGGGGTGCGGTGGGATTGTGTACCAGGGAGGGAGTCTTTCTTTTACTTTTGAAAGAGAGGAGTGAACTGGGGGACAGGGGGAGAGGGCTGGGCGGGTAGAGAAGTACAGCAATGAATGAATGAATGGAAATCCAAATTCTCTGTAAATGTTCATTAAAATTATTAAAAAAAAGAATTAAAAAAAAGCAGAACATAGAAATTCCATATAACACAGCTATTCCGTTGCTTACAGTATATCCCAAGAAAATGAGAACTGGGGGTCAGATGTTCATAGTAACATTATTCACCATCACAAAAATATGGAAACAGCCCTAATGCCCAACCACAAATGAATGGATTGAGAAGTTATGATACATTCATACAATTGAATACTATACAGCACGCAGGAGCAATCATGTTGTAAATGACTATCTATCTTGGGAGGGACTGGAGAGCATTATCCTGAGTGAACTAACTCAGTCCAAAAAAGACACATACTGTATGAAACCATTATTGTAGAATGAGTATGAGGATTCAAGGAGAGGGGAGGGTGGAAATAGAGGGGTCAGGATGGGTGGGTGGGGGTGAAGGAAATGGGAAGGATCTTTTGTGAAAAACAGTGTATTCAAACTTTGTAAATAAATCAGTATAAACACACACACTGCAAAAGACAATGTCCAGAAATGATGGTATAAAACTAAATGTACATGAATGAAACAATGTATATGAATAATTGTATAAAAGTATATGATGGTATAAATAATAAATTTTTTAAAATTAAAAAAACCCTTTTTGTTTTACATAAACCTGAAATTTTAGGAAGTCCATATGTTTAAGATTGTGCTGTTTTTAAAGGTGTGCAGTTTGAAACCACCAGATGCTCCGCTGGCGAAAAAGGGGCAGAGTCCTCCTGTGCCAGTTGGATACAATTCGATGCTACACCAAATTAATAAATAAATACAATTTAGGAAGCTCTGGTGGCCTAGTGGCAAGAAGCTACACTGCAATCCTAAAGGATTGTGCTGTTTTTCTTTTAAAATATAAACATTTCCCCATATTAATTTATTAATTTTCCCCATGAAGATTTATTATTGATTTAGTATAATTTTGGGAAAAGTACATATAGCTAAAAACTATATAACATGACACGTGTACCCTAGTAATAGTGGAAAGTAGTCAGAGAGATGTATGACAACCTTTAAGATTACACTAACCCATAATATTTTGGTTTGATTATTTAAGCAAAATTACAAAAATATTAAAAACTACTTTCATCTTGGATGGTTTATATGTCCTAGTATTCTGCTTTAAATGATAAAAAGGGTAAATTCTTACTTAAAGAAAATAATAAATCTTGGTGAGGTCTGTTGGCTTAGTGGCAAGAAGCTGCACTGCAACCCTAGAGGTGCGCAGTTTGAATCCACCAGATGCTCTGCTGAAGAAGGAGGGACAATCTCCTCCTGTACTAGTCAGATCTGATTTGACGCTACACACACAAAAAATAATACTAATAAAAAAAGGAAAATAATAAATCTTAAGAATATGGGAAGCCAATACTATATATTTGTAATAAACTGAATGCTATCAGGATGTGGTGGAGGTGAGGTACAAGCTAGAGTTCACACTGAGGCTAAGGCAATCCTTAAAGGTTTACCAGATAGTTGCATTTGCTGACCCCTCCCTTCTGAGTCAAGGAGAAGGTTTTCAATAGAAAGAGCTTGGCTTCATTTGCACTGAATTCTCCTTGTGATTTACTTCCTGATAATTTTCAATAAAGATACAGGGAAGCTGGAATGGGGTCTTCAGTGGAGAACTACTGGCCCCTGTTTTCATGCTCTCTATTCTATCTCATTCCTGGCTGTCTGTCTCATTATTAATAATTCTAAAAATACTTTACCCTCCGTCTGCAACAAGGAACATGCAGAAACTTTTTATTGCCTATTCACAAGTGATCTAGAAGGAATCTTTGAGAAAATGCTTGTACTTCAAAGTAGATACTTGGAGAATATTTTCCCTGAGATAACATCTTATGACTTTGATTTTTTGTAGTGAAGAGTATTTATCCAACTGTTTTTATTGTGATAAATACAAATAACAAACCATTTGCCATTTTCATAATCTGCATGTGTACATTTTATTTTCTTTTCTACAACTGTAGTGCTTATGAGATTATCAAGCTGAAGGGATATACTTCCTGGGCTATTGGCCTATCTGTGGCAGATCTGTCAGCATCAATTTTGAAAAATCTTAGACGAGTGCATCCAGTTTCTGCTATGGTTAAGGTAGGTTTTATGTTTTCATTTTCATTTATTCTTTCAATAATTTATTGAGTGTCCCTTGTGGTGATACAGGTAAAAATATTGGCTGCTAACCAAAAATGCCCGGGGTTAGAACAGTGAGAGAAAGTTGAGACAGTCTGTTTCTGTAAAAATTGAAACAACTCAAATAGAACCTTTCAGCAAGTTTTCAAGGTTTTCAATCACATGGGAGAAGATGGCCCATGTTTCTCCTGAGAAGAAGCTAGTGGGTTTGAACTGACTACTTTTTGGTTAGCCATGCAACTCCTTATCCACTAGACAACCAGAGCTTCTGGGCAATAATATCTGCAGTTTTACTCTGTCCTGCATGTCACTTTGAATCAGAATTAGCTAAAATTCTCTGTGTGTACAGGTTGATCTATATTCTAGGCCTTGTGCATGATATTTAGATGGACAAACTTTTGCCTTGTTGTATTCTTGTTGGTGCCTGTGAACCAAATGACCTGTATTACCTCCACCTAGTAAAACCTCACTGTTCTCTCTGCAGCTAAGAACACACTGTTAAAAAAAAAGAGGGAGAGGAAGAAGTAGAAAAATGCTGAAATGCTGTTAAATTGTCTCCATAATTATGGTCAGTATTAGGAAACAAAATGTATATGAATTGTTGAAAGGAAAACAAATTTGCTCTGTAAAGGTTCCCAAATAATAATATAAAAAACACAAAACAATCCCCCCTCCATTCTCTCTTTTTTTTTAAATTTTATCTTATTATTTTTGTGTAAGTGTACCATCAAATCAGATCTGACTGGTACAGGAGGAGATTGTCCTGCCTTCCCCGGCAGAGCATCTGGTGGATTCGAACCGTGCGCCTCTGAGATTGTAGTTGCAGCTCCTTGCCACTAGGCCACCAGAGCTCCCCTCATTCTCTTAATGAAGAAATTTTTGGAGCACATTTTTCTCATCTGAGCACATTTTGTAAAGTGCTTTCTCAAGTGAAGAATGATTTTTTAATTAATTTTCTTTCTTGTACAAACCTATAAGACTTAAGGATTCTGAAGCTTTGTCTGACATACTTTGGGCATGTGGCAAGGAGGGACTGGTCCTTGGAGAGGGACATCATGTTTGGCAGAGTAGAGGGGTGGCGCAGGAGAGGAAGACCCTCGATGAGATGGATAGATTCTGTGAGTGGAGTGGTGGGAATAAGTGTGTTTGAGACGGTGAGCTTGGCACAGGATAGAACGGCGTTTAGGGCTCTTGTGCATAGGGTTGTAATGAGTTGCAAGTGACTCAATGACACATGACAACAACAAAGTTCATGTTGTAGTTTCAAGTTTTGATTGGTTATTTCTACAATGAGCATATGTTTTTTTGAGCAAATTTTAACACACTTGAGAAGAAAGGCAGTTTCAGTTCTAGCTACATTAGGCAATAGACAAAAAAAAATCAGATCTTGACAATACAAACTAGAATGTCTGATCAGTCTTATTGTAACATGTAACCTGTATTTATTTTCTGTTAGCAATTTGCCATTTTCTCCTCTTATTATTTTTTAAAAGAATAGAAGCATTTTGCTTTAATATAGTCCAGTTACTATTTTTTTAAGTATAACTTTCTTCTTTTTTTTGTCTCTAACATTGTAAGTATAACTTTCTTATACTTTATTACTCTCTTATATCCTCCCATGTGCTTTATTTTTTCTTTTTTTAAATTTTAATAATTTTAATGAACATTTACAGAGATTTTGGATTTCCATTCATTCATTGTTGCACTTTTCTCTCTGTCCTGCCCTCCTCCCTTTCCCCCCACCCCCTGCCCCAGTTCGCTGCTCTCTTTGAAAAGTAAAAGAAAAATTCTTTCTTTGATATACAGTCCCCCCCGCACCCCTCCCACTGCCCCAAGTACACTCCACTATGCAACTTTAATTGTGGACTCTTGTGATACAGTTACTATTTTTTACATAATTTATTATTTTATTTAATCGTGGCAGGCTTTTAGAGCCGACTGCTTTCCAGGAATGTGTTTGACGTGCAGGTTTGCTCTGTCCCTAGGGTTTGAACCAGGAGGCAGTCTTAAGCCCAAAGGGCCCGAGGGCTGAGGCCCTCGGGCCAGGTTCAAATTGTCTTCCTGTCAAACATTCTTCTAGGTGGTATAGCACTGGTCTGTGTGTTGCTGTACAGAGGTAACTCGTGGTTGCTGTGATGCTGAAGCCTGTGACAGTGATGTGCCAATCGTGGTAATGGGCACCCATGGTGGACAGTGTTGGCTGGAGCTTCCCGACTAAATCAAGCCTGGAAGCAGGAGCGGCATCCACTTCCAAAATGGCTTGCCTCCGGAAACTCTATGTACGAACAGTGCTCAGGCTGTTTGTTCATAGGGTCACTATGAGTCGTCTACGACTCGACGGCATTAAACAACAACAACAATTATTTAATTTTTTCGTTGTTGCACATTTTCTTCCCCTTCTACTCCCCATCCCAACCCATAATGCATCCTTGTTCTAGATTGTTGTCATACAAATAATGCCTAATCATATATTCCTTTTTTACAATTCTTCCCCTCATCTGTTCTAATGTTCATTGTCTGCCTACTCTTTTCCCTTTCTCTTCCCAGCCCCCTTGTCTGTCCTATTTTATAACAGTGGTGTTCTGCAGTATTTGTCCTTTTATGTTAGAGATGTTTCACTCAGTATAATGTCCTCCAGGCTTCCCTATGTTGTGTAATGTTTTACAAGCTCATTTTTTTTCAGTGCTGCATGGTATTCCATTGTGTGACTGTATCATATTTTTTTGTTTGTTGATTGGCACCTGGCTTGCTTCTATCTCTTTGCTATTGTGAATATTGCAGCAATAAACATGAGTGTGCACATTTGTTTGAGTTGTGGCTCTGATTTCTTTAGGATATATTCCCAATAGTAGAATTGTTGAGCCAAATGGTATTTATATTTTTAACTTTTTGAGAAAGCACCAAACTGCCTTACATAGTGCCTGTGTTATTTTACACTCCCATCAGCAGTGAATAAGAGTTGCAATCTCTCCACACAAACTTGCCAGCATTTGTTGTTTGCTGCCCTGTTAACTTTGCTGTTGTTGTTAATACATTGTCTGTATATGTATTCTTGTACACAGCCCACATAGTCTTAATTACTATAATTCTGTCACACACATCAACCACAAAACAGCCCACTGGTGTTGAGTTGATTCTGACTCGTGGTGACCCTCCACCAGGTTTCTGAGGTTGTAAATCTTTATGGGAAGGAGACACCCTGTATTTTCTCTCATGGAGCAATTGGGCTTAAATCATTAATAATTCATGAAATCAAAAAGTTGGTTGGTATCAGGCTGCTATTATGGAATCTTTTTTTCTTTGTTGTTGTTATGTGCCATTGAGTCTACTACATTGACTCATAACAACCCTATGCACAAGAGCTGTGAACTCTGCTCTATCCTAAGCCAATCTCACTGTCTCTGACACACCTCTGTCATTACCCCAGTTATTGGGTTAATCCATCTCCTCTGGGGTCTTCCTCTCCTGCATTGTCCGTCCACCCATCTCAGCATGAGATCCTTTCTAAAGACTGGTCCCTTCTGACTACATGCCCAAAGTATGTGAGATGGAGTCTCAAAATCCTTGCCTCCAAGGAGCAGTGTTGTTTCACCCTTAGTAGGAAGAGACCTGTTAGTTCTCTTGGCAGTCCATGGTATGTAAAGTACACTTCTACCTCACCACAACTCAAAGGCCTCAATTTTACTGTCATCCTTGGTAATTGTTCAGCTCTCTGAAATATAGAAAGTAATTGGGACAACCATGGCCTGGATCAAGTGCTGACATCCTTGCTCTTCAGCACTCTTGAGAGGTTCCTGACAGCAGAGTAAATTAATCTTTTGATTTCCTGACTGCTGGTGCCAAGAGTGTTGATTGTGGAGCCAAGGAAGCGGAAATTGTTAACAATCTCAATCTCTTCTTTATCTATCACGATGCCGTCAATTGACCCAGTGGTAAGAATCTTTGTTTTCTTGATATTGAGCTTCAATCCATATTGCAGATGACAATCCTTGATGTTTTGCATCAAGGATTTGCTTTACTTCAGACCCTCCTCAGTTTCAGCAAGCAAGGTTGTGTCATCAACATAACACATGTTGTTGATGAGAGTTTCTCCAATCCTGATGCTACATTGCTCCTCAGAAAGTCTAGTATCCCGAATGATCTGTTCTGCATATAGATTGGAAAGATATGGAGACACGGGACGCATCCTCTATGCACTCCTTTTCCAATTTTGAACCATGCAATGTTTCCTTGTTCTGTTCTAATGACTACCTCCTGGTCCAAGTACAGGCGGCACATTAGCTCAATCAGGTGTTCTGGGATTCCCATTCTTCTCAAAATTAACCACAATCTGATGTGATCCATGAAGTCAAATGCCTTTTCATAGTCAATGAAACATAGACATTCCTCTGGGACTCTGCTTTTAACCAAAATCCATCTGACATTTGCGATGATATCCCTTGTGCCAGGGCCTCTTCTAAACCCAGCTTGTATTTCTGGTAGTACTCTGTCAATGTACTGTTCCAATAATTTTTGGATGATCTTCAGCAGGATTGTTTTTTTCCTGGTTGTGGCATTAGTGATACTGGTCGATAATTTCCATACTCTGTTGAGTCACTTCTTTTGGAATGGGAATAAATGTGGATCTTTTCCAGTCAACTGGCCAGGTGTTTGTCCTCCAGATGTCTTGGCACAACCTGGTAAGCACATCCACAGCTGCAGCTGTTTGTTGAAATATGTCAATTGGTATTCCAATTTTTGTCAATTCCTTCAGAGCAGCTTGAACTTCCTCCTTCATCACCATTGCCTCTTGGTTGTATGTTGTTTCATGAAAGTCTTCTGTGTCAGCCTGTGTACTCTTCCATCTTCTTTTAGTAATTTCTAGGTTATTCGGTATTCTGCTCATAGGGTCCTTTAGTATTACAACTTGAAATCTGAGTATGTTCTTCAGTTCCTTCAGTTTAGGAAATGATGAGCAAGTTTGTCTCTTTTAATTTTCTGACTCTCTTTGCAACATTTCTTTATAATGCTTTGCTTTGTCTTCCCAAGCTGCCCTTTGAAATCTTCTGTTAAGCTCCCTAACTTCCTACTTTCTTCCCTTTGCTATGGCTTCTTGGTGCTGTAGTGCAGTAACGAGAGTCTGTTCTGACATCCATCTCAGTCTTTTCTTACTCCTTTTCTTTGTAATGATCTTTTGTGTTCTTCATGGATAATATTCTTGATATCCTTCCACAGCTCATCTGGCCTTTGCTCATTAGTGTCTAAGGCTTCAAACCTGTTTTTGAGATGGTTTTTTTAGTTCAGGTGGAATAGATTAAAGGTCCAATTTTGGTTCTTGTGGATTTAATTTCGTGGTTTTTTTTAAAATTTCAGTTTGAACTTGCATATAAGTAGTTGATGTTCTGTTCCATAATCAACACCTGGCCTGGTTTTCACAGCTGATATTGAGCTTCTCCATTGATTCTTTGTATAGATGTAGTCGATCCTGTGCAGACCATCAGGGGAGGTCCATGTGTATGGTTACCATATATGTTACTTATAAAAGGTATTTTCAATGAATAAATCATTGACTGTACAAAATTCTATCATTTTAGCTCCAGCCTCATTTCTGTCAACAAACCCGTACTTTCTGACAACTGATCCTTTTTCTCTGTTCCTAGCTTTTGCATTCCAGTCAACCATTATTATTTGTGCATCCTGGTTTTATGTTTGATTGATTTCTGACTTCCTAAGTTGGTAGAAATAATCTATTTTTTTTCCTTTGGCTCTGGTTGTTGGAACATATATTTGAATGATAGTGGTTTTAACAGGTGTTCCTTGTATGCATATGGATATTATCCTATCACTTACAAAATTGTATTTCAATATGGATCTGGAAATGGTTTTAACTGTGAATGTGACCATGTTTTTTCCTCACCGTTTCATTTCTAGCATAGTAGATCTTTTGACTGTCTGATTCTAAATGTCCCATGCCAATCCAACTTAATTCGCTAATGCCTAGTGTGTAAATGTTTATGTGTTCCATTACTCTCTTAACAATGCCCAATTTTCTACGTTCATGATTCTCACATTCCATGTTCCAATCACTAGTGTCTGCTTTCAACTGTTTTACCTCCTCTGTGTTTGCCAGATTCAGGTGTCATATTTGCAAGTGCGCTAGTTTTTCCAAAGGCCTGTTAGTTCGGATTGGATGACCAATCCTTCTCCCTAGTCTTCCTTAGTTTAGATGCTCAGCTTTAGAGCCATATCTGGAGACAAGCACTTTACCCAGAAGAGCAGATGAAAACATTTCCCATAACAAAACTAAGTGATTCAGCGTCCTCCCGCCCCCCAACTGTGGTGCCTGTATTTTGGTGTTAAGTGTTAATTTATAATGTGCTTTAAGATCAACTTGGTGGTATAGTTTCCCCCCTAGTGGTCAGAGTGTAGTAATGGAGAAAGCAGGTAACCAAATTTGTTTAGATTTGGCAGTTAGCATAGGAGTATGAAAAGTAATACAGAAGGGGGAATGAGAGAGAAGGAGAAGACACAGAAGAGAAAGAGAAAAGTACAGCTTTGCCCTGCAAATTCAAACCCAGTGCTGTTGAAGTGATTCCTACTCCCAGAAATCCCCCAGTGGGTTCCTGAGGCTGTAAATCTTAATGAGAGAAGACTGCATATCTTTTTCCTGTGGAGTAACCAGTGAATTAATGCTGCTGACCTTCTGGTTAACCAGAAAATATTAATAATACTCTGCTTCCCAGGTCCTTTTGGCTTGCAGGCATGTTCAAAATATACTGAATCTCTAAATACATGAGGATATTAAAAAGAAATAATAATAATGAGTTTTAAAAGATTCCTTTTTTTATTTACTCAGTTCAGTTTATACATATTGACTTATTTTAATGACTGATTTGTTTCTAGTAAGAAAACCAAGTTTAAAATAACTTGATAATCTTGCTTCAAACACAACTGTTCTTATATCATTCTCCAGTTCCATCAAAAATTTTTCTAAGGCAGCTTTGAGGGTCTAGTGACAAAAAGCTGCACTGCAATCCCAGAGGTAAATGGTTTGAATCCACCAGATGCTCTACTGGAGGAGGTGCAATCTCCTCCTGTACCAGTCACATCTGATTTGATGGTGGTGTTGTTGTTTTTATGTGCCTCCGAGTCATTTGCAATTCATAGAAACCCTATGTACAACAGCCCTAAACCCTGCTCTATCCTCTGCCAGTTGCACTGCCTCTGACACACCCATTCTGATTACCCTAGTCACTGAATCAATCCATCTCAGAGAAGGTCTTCCCCTCTTGCGCCATCCCTCCTCCCTCCCAAGCATGATGTCCCCTCTGCAAGGACCTGTCCCTCCTTGCAACATGCCCAAAGTATGTCAGACGAAGCCCCAGAATCCTTGCCTCCAAAGAGTTGCTTGGTTTAATCCTCTCCAGGATGAATCTGTTTGTTTTCTTGGCAATCCAGGGTACACTCAATACTCTTCTCCAGCACCACAGCTCAAAGGCATCAATTCTCCTTCTGTCCTCCCTAGTCATTGTCTAACTTTCTGATACATAACAAGTGATTGCAAAGACCATGGCCTGTATCAGATGCACCTTAGTCTCCAGAGA